CCTTCCCCTCCCCTCCCTTCCCTTCCCTTCCCTTCCCTTCCCTTCCTCCTTGCCTTCCTTTCCTCCCTTCCTTCATTTCTTCCTTCTTTTCTTTCCATCCTTTCTCTCTCATATGTTGTGTTTTTACAAGAAAAGAGTATGTAACATGCATATAGGTACCCATTCATGCACAAATGCACAGTCATGCGCTTCTTAGTTTTTTTACTTGCCAATATTTCAATTGAGCCTCAGATCAGTACATTTATCTTCTTATAAGGAATTAAAAATATGTGTCCTCTTCCACTCATGTAACATGAGGAGGTTAGTTGTTTCGTTTTAGGACAGCTATGGTATTTTGATTTTTGCACAAGCAGAAATATGCTTTAGTCTCACTTGAAGAATCACCTAGCGTACAATTATTTGCTTGATCAACTTTATGAGACTGATACAAATTTGAAGTAATACTAACAACTCACCCATCTTGTTAAAAAAGTCAGTGCAACAATACGAACCTAGATACAATGCATAACACATAATAAGTGAATAATTCCATTTTGCTTGGCTCAAGTTTCACTGAATCATCTATACAGTGATTCTGAGTATCTTTGAAGGTCACAAATCCCATTTCTGTTTTCCAACATAGGCAAAATTTTAATCTGTTCTGACACCAACTCCAATAGCAAATACATTATTATATAAGCTTAAATGCTGAATATTGATGACACTGGGATAAATTACAAACTATCAATGCTGCTCTCCTGTATATCACTGTAAGAGTATGCTGAATTTTATCCTTTCATGACTTTTCAGAAATTGATTTACAAAATCAGAGATACTGTGGTCAAATCATGAACAAAGCTCTTTTTAACAAATTCTCAGAAATTTGAGAAACATTAACAAATCAGTAATATATGTACACATACAACACACAGTAAACAAACCAAAAATTTCAAGCAATGCAAATGAATGACCAGTGATGCAAAACAGATGACCTTATAATTTTAGATGTATTTAATCTTTAAAAATTCTGTTTTGAAATATAAGCCTGTACGTGTAAATTCAGAAAACTCAAAAAAATATAGAAAATTGCATAGAAAACTTCTTCCATTTTATAAACAAGACAATTTCTCTAAGAAAGAGCAGACACAGCTTTAGAGGATTACCTCCAATCCCTAACCCTTGTTTGTTTTCCCTTCTGAGCTCACCACCGAGCACTAAATCTTGCCCTGAACTGCCCCTGCACATGGTTTTTCTTCTCCCATGGAACTGCTCAGTTATCCCCACACTCCTGAGATACTGATAATTAACCACAGCTTTTTCTTGACTCCACATAGGAGATCAGCTTGGCTGAAGGACGGCAAAGCTGCATGGAACATCTCTTTCCTGCAGTCCTGATTCCTTCAGTACCTTCTCAGGTTTTTGGAGGTTTTGTGGTTTTTTTTCATTGTTCAGTACATAATTAAGTAGTGTCGTGGTTTAACCTCAGCTGGCAACTGAGCACTACGCAGCTGCTCGCTCACTCCTTCCCACCCCACTGGGATGGGGGAGAGAATTGGGGGGAAAAAAAAAAAA